GGCTATTGCAACGCAGCATGCCACGGAGCAGACATGTTGCGACGAGCCCGAATCGCGCAGGCAAACTGGCTCGCTAAGACTAACCAAAGGCTTAATGAGCCTTTGATACTGCGTTGGGTATCAAGCTGCTAGGTTGCATAGCAGCCAGCGGGCAAAATTCGGCAACGGCTGAGGCCGCGGTGCCGATCTGCGCCCCGGAAGCTCCACTGAGAGCCGTTTCGGAGCGCTGTGACATGGAACTGCCATGCATTCCAAAGGGAGCAGTAGTAGTCCAATTTGCCCTTGTGCATTGTTCGGGTTGGGCTATGGCCCCGGACCCAAACACGGTACCTCTCCAGTGGGAGCTGATACGTAGCGCCTCGTGTCATCCCGACTGGGGCTTGTGACAAGTGAGGGTGCGCGATTGTGATGCTCAAGGGGGGCACTGGCCCTGTTCTCGAGCAATGCGGTATCTGCTAAAAGCGTCAGCGGACAGAACTCACGCGGAGCAGACATAACGCGGGCAAACGCGGCGAGCCTGATTCGCAAAGGCGGGCCGACTCGGCTAAGACTAATCAAAGGCTTAATGAGCCTTTGATACCGCGTTGGGCGCCAGTGTGGTGACCCCGCTCTAACTGCAGCGGACGATCACCGCGGGTTCACGCTTAGCGAGCCACAGGGCCGCTACTCCGTTTACTCGCGTGTAGCGCACCGCTCCGCGCGCGCTCAACTGATAAGGCGTTTAGCGCGGCGCGGCAAATAGACAGTGTTCTAATGTAAAAGTACACAACACTTTATTGCCTCTGGCGGCACCCCGAACAACAGCACAACGTCCGCTCCCGGGACGCGGGTAGCAAAGGCCCCCGCACGCGGACGTTCACAATAAGGGGAAAACCGCGAGCACGTCGCAGCTGGCAATGGCGAGCTTTGACACGCCGGTCGGGAAAAGGTCCCTCGCGGCTATGCTGCGCACTCTCACGATGGCCACTGGGCCTGGTCGCGAGTGTTAGGGCAAACCTCGTACGCGCTGGGCCTACGGCAAGTGCGGCTCGTTGTGGTACGACCACTTCAAGCACTAGGCACCGCTGTGGGCTTAGCGTACGCTACCGAAGCTAGCACTCAAGTAAACACGCCTGCCGAGGTGCCCAAGGCCACCCCAGGCAGGCTGCAGTCCGGCGCTTCCCAAAGGGGACGCGGACGAAGGAAAACACGTGCTTACCCGGCGCCGACCAACGGAGAAAAGAGCGCTCCCTCGGCGCGCGCGTACCGCGCGCCGTGCCCGCACGTGGCGCCATCTATCGCCACGTGGTGTTAACAGGGCAGGAAAGCAAAAGGGTGTGGCCGTGTGGCGGAATGCCCGCGAAAATGGTCGCGGGCGCGCCTCAGATCCCCACAACGTCTAGTTATCGGGAAAAGCATGGCACCGTGGTGTTTTCGAAATGTGCTGTCCCTTCCAGTTACCTACCGAGCAAGCTCAAAAGTTTGGATGATCGGGGAGATTTTCAGCAGATGGCTATTGTCGTGGAATGATGATTTGGTAGGCGAAAATCGCAAGGTGTGCCTGCTCGTAAACAATTGTTCATCGCACCACTGCAGTACGACCTTCAGCAACATCGAGCTGCGTTTTTTGCCCCCGAACACTATATCTGTACTGCAACCACTGGATCAAGGCGTTATACGCGCAATGAAAGCCGGCTATCGGAAGCGCCTCGTGGAGAGGCTGCTGCAGAACCTTCGTGTCGGCAGGGAGCTTAAGATCGGCTTGCTCGGAGCTATTTCTATGTTGAGTGAATCGTGGGCAGATGCCAAGAAGGAGATGATCCAGAACTGCTTTAGGCATGCCGGCTTCCCCATGCCTGGTGATCACACCCCAAATTCTGGCAGCATCGAAGACACCGCAGGTGTTTCCGCGGAAGTTTGGAACGAGCTGGCAGAGTTCCCGGGTGCTATCGACGGATCGACATTCGTTGAGTTCGTCAGTGCGAACGATGATGTCCCCATCATGGGTCAATTACAGGATGAGGATTACATTGCAGATGTCGTGCTGACCACGAGCCAAAGCGACAGCAATATGGAAATCGACGACGGCCCATTGCCTACATCCTCCGAAGTGATTATGCACTTGCGTTGGTCCGGCGCTATTGCTTGAATGTGGAAGGTTGCGACCTCAGCTACTCCGACTCGTTGGACAACGTGGAGGCGTGCGTGCTGTCGCAGGCAGCGAAGTCGTTGGCACAGAAAAAAATCCGGGACTATTTTGTTCCACAGTAGGGCACGCAAGTAAGCCACCATATTAATAAAGTACTTTTCTTCTAGTTTGTTATGTGCCTTTGTGTCAAAACCTATCCCGGGCCTATATCGAATTACACCATATATGAACTAATACATATTTTCGCGCGTATAACCGGCACCAAAAACCCAAAAATTTCAGTGGCAAAGCGGAGGTGCGGATAATACGCGAGGTTTTTCCCATAGTGCTGCTTCACAGCAATGCGTGTTGTGCTGTGAAGCCCCTTAACAGTGTAGCAAAGGCTACAGAGGCGGTTTCCGCAAATTCGTGTTGCTCCGCAAGTAGAACGGCAGCTTGCGGCCGATTTTGGTTTCGCTTGCTTGCATCGTTGAAGCGTTTAGAAAAACATTTGGGGAAAGACAATTCGATTGTTCAGTGTAAAATCTCACTATCACACCACAAGTATATTTTTTGGGCGTTCGCAGCCGCTCAGTGACCCTCCACATGTCTTTACGTCACGGACGCCATGTTTACTTTTGGAAAGGGCTTGCCGAAAAGGTGGTGCTGTCTAAGAAAGTTCCATAATAATTATGTAAGTTCCATAATAAATAAAGCAGTATTTATTTCAGCAAGGCAAATGAGATAATATAGTGCCAATAGAGATATTATCAGTAAATTAATGTACTACGTTTTGACGTGGTAGCAGGCATGCATTTCGGTTCTGTTGTTTCCAGGGTGCTGTTTCAGTGTACTAGAAGGGGTAGTTCGGTCAAGTCTTCGCTGGGTGTGAGCGCTCTTTACCTCGCTGATACCGCTAGTTTTCCATATCTCGACCCGTTCGCCAAGCCTAAGTCGATCTGTTCTGTCACCATGAGTAGCGTACGGCGGCAGGCCTTCACGGCACAGCAAAAGCTTAAGATCATCGCCGTCGCCGAGGAATTCGGAAATCGCGAAGAGGGAAGACGGCACAATGTGGACGAGTCCTGCGTGCGACTGTGGAGAAAGAAGAAAGAAAGCCTACAAGCCGCGCACCGCGACCATAGGTCATTTCGTGGCCCCAAGACCGGTGCCTACCCTGAGCTGGAGGCGGAGCTAGTAAAGTTCATCGGAGATGTGAGAAGCAGGGGTTACGTCGTATCGACCGAGATGGCCCAAGTGGAAGCGCGGCGACTTTTGAGGGAGCTAGGCCTACCTCACGAGTTCCGTGCGAGCCGCGGAGGGCTGCACCGCTTTATGAAGCGGCAAGGGCTCTCAATCAGACGGCGGACTACAATATGTCAACGCTTGCCGGCTTCTTATGAGGAGAAGCTGGTCAAGTACCAGAGATATGTAATTGGCCTGCGAAAGCAGCACAATTACATTTTCTCGCAAATCGGCAATGCGGATGAAACTCCTGTTTATTTTGAAATGCCGTTGGACACAACGATTGAGAAGACGGGCAGCAGTTCGGTGAGCGTGCTGACCTGCGGGAACACGAAACTGCGCATCACAGTCTTGCTTTGTGCCCCCGCCTTCGGCATGCAACTGCGACCGTACGTCATCTTGAAAAGGAAAACTCTACCAAAGGTTCATTTGCCTGCCGGTGTGGTGGTGCGCGCACACGAGAACGCGTGGATGAACAGTGACTTGTTCGTAGACTGGATTAAGACGGTATGGGAGAAGAGGCCCGGTGCGATGCTCGCAAAGAGGTCCATGCTCGTTCTTGACTCATTCCGCGGCCACACTGAGGAAGTGAAGGACCGCCTTTCACGCAACGGCACTGACCTAGTTGTTATACCCGGTGGAATGACGTCAATGTTGCAGCCTCTAGATGTATCGCTTAACAAGCCTTTCAAAGCGCATGTCAAGCGCTATTACGCCGAGTGGATGGCCGAAGGCTGCTACGACTTGACGCCGACAGGACGAGTCTGAAGGCCTGATATTGCCCTATTCTGCAAGTGGATTGTCGAGGCATGGAAGGCCATTCTAGGTGAGATGGTGCGAAAAAGTTTCAAGAAATGCTGCATCACAAACAACATAGATGGAACCGAAGATGACCTTGTGCATAATAGTGAGGACTGCAACTCAAGTGGCTCTAGCGAGAGCAGCGACAGTGAGTGAATTGTGAGTGGCCTTGCAGACAGCGTATTCTGCTTGCTAAATAAAGCTTTTTCTGTCTACATATGTGCTATGTATCTTGAACGGTAGCTTTTGTACAGCCTTTCCTGTATATCAAATGTGCGGGCAATACGCAAGGATTTTTTTGTTTCTTTCTCGGTGAGCTGAAAGTGGGGGTGTGGATTATATGCAGGGGCGGGTTATACGCACGAAAAATATGGTAAACGTTTTTTGGCGAGTTCGATATACCCGGGTTCAACTGTACACAAATGAGCGCCCACTATAGACCAAGGTCTATTCACAGAAATCCGTCAGGTTTTATCCTGCACCAAACATAACCCATGCGTGAAACTACAGCCTAAAATCTGAAGGACAGCTCTCCTGGCCATGAGGATCACAAAACAGATAAAAAGTGACTGAGAGTGAAAATGACACCGGTCATTGCAAACGTGCGAATTGAGCTGCCGCTGGTCTGTTCTCCATGCCGAAGCCTTAATAAGGTAAGTCCCTTCACTGGTTAGTAGGCTAAAATATGGCTGGCTGACGCACGTGTTTGTTTAATTCTGTCTCTTATATTTTGTCTGCTTACGCGCTCTTTATACCACTATGGATCAAATGATCAGTGGTTGCAACATCAAATACAACACAGTACAGATGCACACCCAGACTCTGGCTAGCCCCTGCAGTCTCTCACCTTAACACGCCGCCCAATGTTGGGGATGACCGTCTCCAAGTGACTCTGGTCCAGCCGTACTTTGTCATTACTGTCCAACATTCGAACTGTCGCCACGTACCGGTCTTGTACATCCTGTAGAAACACAGTATAAAAACAATACTAGGTCCAGCAATTCCGAAGCACTAAGGCGAATACACTAGTACAATAAGAGAACAGATGATGACTACTTTTGATGCGCCGAAGTGAAATGAGCAAGGAAGACGAGCTAACGCTATCTTGTTGCAGCTCTGCTTAAGCAATGTCTGCTTGCACGCTCAGACAGCTTGTTAGCATCCCATCTCGGATCAAGTTTTCTTTAGGCGAGTAAAAGATTACAAGCAAAACAAGTGCTATCAGTATCATTGCCTGTCTTTTTTCCTGTAGACTCATTTACTCGTACTAAAATGACCCTCCAAGTGCTACAGTGAATAGATCCTTGCTGCAAATCGGACAGTGTCTCAACGACAAGTCAAGAAAGCAGGCGTGAACGAGCATGAGCAATAACAGGATCCTTGAGAACACTGCGGAAGACTCCGACTATCCTGTTCATTCAACAATCAATGTCGTTTGTGAACACAAACATGAGAAAAAAGCAGACCATTTCACAAAGCTTGCTGCACCAACAGAACACGTAAGTTCCTGCACAAGCTACTGAATGCCTTCAGCAGGACAGAATTTGAATCTTTTATTCGCAGTCACATGCCTGTGTGAATCAGCAGCTTACATTTGCAATTTTGTAAATGTCATACTTGGTCTAGCATAGCCTGCAACAGTAAATTTTAATTTCAAAGCAATAAGTTCAAAACCGGTGCACTCACTGTCTTAATGTTCCTTTTTTCTGCGAGCACTGTATATGTGATGAAAGGCCAGCTCTCCATGCATTAACTTTTCACATTTGAAGTACCTTCTTTTGCGAGTTGGCATTCGCAGAACACGGTCTTAAGAGTACAGAAGGTAGACAAAAAAGACCTACATAAACTTCAAGGTGTTCACATTCAAGATTCAAAGAGCACTGGCTCTAATTATGAACACAAGAGTAAAATATTCTAGTCTTCCTTAGTGATTGTCAGATTGCATAAGACCAAACTTGCGATTATGATTACTACAAAGGGAAAAATCAAAATGGTAATTTTACGGATTGAAACGTGGCATGCATCCATTATGACAGTGCATCCATCCGCTATGCAAGTACAGCCACCCAAATTTTAACTAGTGCAACAGAGTAGCGACATTTATGGGTCTTAGTACTTAAAGGGGCCCTAAAACAATTTTTTTTAGTAACCATGAAATTAATCCAATGAAGAAGCGTATTGCATCACCATTTCAACGCTGCAAAAATTTTAAGAATCCGACCAGTACGAGGGGAGTTACAAAAATATGCCACACGCTGCAATCGAATTCTCCTCTCGTCCCAACGAAAGTGCTGGAAGCTAAGCAGGGAGAGATGGGAGGGGCAAACAAAAAATGTCATGCACACCTTGTGACCTTGAGCACTTTTTTCTTTTTTTTTTCCTTCAAATACGTGGCTTTTTCAGTGCGATCGCGCACGCAAGCATGCGACGACCTCCCATGGCGACCTCTAAAACAACCCAGCGCGCCGTGTTTAAATGAGCCAATGGCTGATAGATGGACTTCGTACGGGTGATTTTCGGGCTTATTGCGTGATTTGTTGAGAGAAGAGAAAGCAATATTTAGCTGACTTTGATAATTTATTTTGAATTCCAGGCCGTGTGCTGCGCTATAATATTTAGCTCGCGTGTTGTCGGGAGCCTCTGCTACCTATCGGCAGCATTTTCTCACTATGCTCAAAAACTGTTGCAGGGCCCCTTTAATGAAATAGCCGAGTTGCAAACAGGGTGAGAGTAAGTGCATGTGCACAAAGCGCTCTGCTGAGCTCGTCATATGCAAAGCTGTTCCTTTTTAAGGACATCAACACAATTCAGTGCACTTCAGAGGAACAATGTTCTGTGCCTTATCTCATGAGCAGAGGCATTTGGAACACAGTTGAACTCATTAATATATGCACCACAAAGCAATTCTTGCCTTCCATATGAGGTGCCTCTTATAAGCAGGGTACCATGTATGCATTTTCTTATTAATACTTTTTTCAATGTAAGCAGTCTGGTGCCTCTAGTACCCTTTTGTCTCTTATATACTCTCTCTTATAAAGAGGTTGATCAGTGTCCCTTACAAAGAGGTCTTACAAAGAAAGCAGCACCTAGCAAGTGATGGGCCTAACTGAGCACAGTTTGTGGGCACGCACATATCCTTGCAGTTTCCAACTTGGCTCCGTCATGTGACTCTTCTGCACAGGAAAATCGCCGCTCGAGAATCTTACTCAAAGACTAGGTTCCATTCACATGCAGTGAGTGTCTTGTCAGCGTGTTGTCGCTCACCTCTATGACGCCCTTCTTCTTGTAGTACTTGTCACCCAGCTTCTTGGCCATCACTTTGACCACAATGTCCTGCAATAAGCAAAGGAATTAATCCAATATTCAAATAACTTCTGGAGGCGAATATGTGAAGTGACACAATCGTGCAGCATATGACCTACACGAATGAGCATCAGCTCGATATAGCAAGGAGTGCATGCACTTATCTGAATGGTCATGGCCATGCATGAAGCTTAAATGGAGATACTGGGAACAGACATGACTTGATGCGAACTCTGGTGCGCTATCAAAAATGTTCTGATCCTTCTATGCCACACCCTACCCGACTGTGCAAGCAGGTCTTAATATACTATAATTGCTGGGATCTTACGGCCCAAAGCCATAATAAGATTTTGAGAAATGCCCCAGTGGAGGGCTTCAGAAATTTCAACCAACTGGACTTCCATAAGGTGCAACCAAATCTAAATTCATGGGTCTCTAGCGCTTTGTCTTCATCCAAACGCGGCCATTGCAGTTGGCACTCCACCCCAGGATTTTCGCGTCAACAGTCAAGAGCCATAACTACTCGACCACTACGGCAGGCCTGAGAATGTTTTAGATGCAGCCGCGCTAACTTCTACAGCCCCTCCTTGCGAACACACGTTCAAGAAAAGGTGCAGTCAGACTGCTCCTGAAACTGGTACTGCTACACCACACTACCTATAAGGGCGTTAACTATATCGCCACAGTTGTAAACATGCATGGGTAGTTGGGTGGTCCCGGGTGAACACCATGTGGTGGCCAAACTCACGCGAGCGATCCAGTAGGCCCGGCGATTTATCTGCTCCCTCTTCCTCTCTTGTTCGAGCATGATTTCGTCCAGGGCCGAGAGCTTTGCTGCTTTCTTGGGCTTTGGCTCGCCATCGCCGCAGGTTGACGAAGATGATGACGGTGCCTTGTGCTTTTCCGCAGCCTTGTTGGCAGCCACTTCCAGTGGGTTCACCTTTGTCTCCCTGCATGAAAAAGCGCTCCTTCCTCTCGAACAATTCCGCACCGCTACTTGACAACATTTTTAGACCAGCGACCTGTTTCATCCTCCAGCTACATTTTTCAGGTGTCAGTTTTTTCTGCAAATAAGAATTAACCTTCAGAGTGCTTCTGCCCTACAAGTAGGTTTTCAACTCTCAGCTTGAAACTTCTTGCCATAATGACATTGCACACTTACTGGCAGGTGGTGCCACTGCTGGGACGTACAAGAAGCGTTAAAAATTATAGCGCTGCCTTCTGACGAAGATAGACACAATTGACTTCCAGCACCAGCGCATCGCGTGGTTTGAGACAATGCCCTTTCACAGTTTTGGTTCCACCATGCAATTGCAACAAACGAGCGTGAAACTCAATTTTGTCTTCATCGGCACTCTCTTGTAAGGCTGGTGAAGGTTGCTTTTCATCTTTATTTCCACTGCTCTTGGCTTGTTTATCAGTGAAAACTCGTGAGTTTTTCTCATTCCCATTTGTTAATGAGCTTACTTGGTCTAAGGCAGCCCCAGGCAGAGAAGATGCCGTGTGTTTGCTAGCATAACTCACTGCTTCAAGATGAGAACGGAGACATCTGTTATGTGCGCAGACTGCTATAGGCTGCTGTGTGTAGATTCGTGTTTCAAAGAACCCCACGCCCTGAAATACTATGGGACGTTTTACTGTTATGAGTGATGATGACACCAAAACTATTCCCAATTTTTTCTTACATTTTCTTTCACGACTTTAAACATTCTGCACATTTATAAACTGCAAGAAAATAGTTTATCTGAAAAAGTTATTGTATAAAAAATTGGAGACTCAAAGGGTTAATAATTACCATCCCACCTTGCATACAAAGGATTGCATCGCCACACACCTTACCCCTGTCGTTATTTATTGAACATGTAGGATTGCAAACTAAGTTTTTTACTTCATGGTTTTTACTGTATATTGAGACGGCAAAAACAAAGCCCTATCTTATTTGTTTTTCATGCACAGTTTTTCCCCTGAAAAAGTACAGGCCAACATCTTGCCGAGTTAAGCGCTAATTTTGATATTCGCTGCACAAGCTGCTCCAAGATTTTTTTTTAATAGGCCAAGGTACAGGGTAGCCCGATACAAAGGGCTGAAATTTTCTACATGTGAAGTTGAAAGTTGAGTGTTATTATTATTGAGTCAAACACAAATTTGCTCCTTTATGAAGCTCTCATTGTAACCATACAAGAAACACTGACAGCTGAGATGCACCAACATAGAAATTCATGAATACGAATATAAAAAAACTGGCTTCAATTATCAAATTGAACACAAAATAAGTCACGACTACCACCATAATAACCGGCCAATCCTATGGCTTCTAAAGGTTGAAGGCAATTCCCAGTAACCTACATTCCACCATATCCTCCACAAACTGATTCCATTTCATGCCTCCAAATTGCTGAATTTTGTCTGTCCACCTACTGTAACCCCTCGTCGTTCCTGGCCACTAATGCATCATTAAAAGTTGCAAAACAAAAAGTATTATTAGCCTGTCATTACTTCTTTAAAACAACTTAATCAAACTGTCATTACACTACATGCTTTTTTGAAGCAAACATTTATTTTATTTATTTAAATACCCTAAAGGCCCGAATGGGCATTACATAGGGGGGGGATAGAGTGGGGTTACGATCACAAGTACAGTACAGAACATAAATGAAGGCAGAGATGGTATACATGTCTACTGCATCGAGAAACTGAAAGTGCAATCCAGAAACAACACCATACAACAATAGATTACATTGAATGAAAAGAAAGGGGTTCACGTGAAATGCACTTTAAAACAGTAAACAAGAACAAAAAAGCGCGATCAGTACACTCAACAACAGGTTCCATTGAGGATCAAACCAGATCAGCCAACGAACAGCGTGAACACTCCATCAAATATCACACTGAAAAATTGTTTGCACATATGTCGAAAGTTCCAAAATAAGATCCTAGCTTTTGCTCTTAAGATTTCCCTGGCAATAAAAGCTCCTATCCCACAACTTACACAATTATGCATACCAATCGCACCTGAACTTAAAAGTCACAGCAGTTTCTCTTCTCATTTCCACACGAATTCACACCATGACCGCCGAGCAAAAGTGATGCAGAGTGGAGTGAGTTAATCCAAGGCAATCAACAGGAAGAATGATAGTGTTTCATCTCAACATATAAAAAAGCCAGTTCAACACAGCGAAGCGAGAAATGCCAACATGTACCAACCAAAGCGGAAGCCCGATTGTACGACTTTGAGAGAAATCACAAAACTGTCGTATAATACAGGCGTGATACAATAAAAAAATTAAGATTATAGGCAGTGACACTCGACCTTGCCTAAAAAACGGGTACACACCGCCTCAATAAGACCACAGCATGACCTTGTCCCTCTGCAAGGAAGGCAGTTTAAATTATTCTTGCCAGTGGCAGAATAATTCTAGCTAATAGCAGGACTACGCAGTTAGAGGAGGTGCAAGCGAATCTTTATTCTCTACTTTAAAAAATTGAATCCACTGCGCTCCTCTTTACAGATGAAGAATCCAAAGATTGCCTGCATGTGAAAATTAAACCGAAAACATGTTGCCTACAGCCTCTCGTCACAAGAATCAGACACAGCGTCATCGCTATCACTCAATGGCCACAGACCACGAGTTTGCAAAGAGTTCCACGGTGTGCGAGTGAGCTGTGCGCATTGTCATTTGTTGGCATGTCAAGTGTAACTAGGTGGGATGTCCCACTGTAATTACAAACATTAACACCAAGTCAAGTGAAAGTAATTTTGCACGGTGAAAAAAGTTGCATATCGCTCTTACGCGTGCGCAAGCCCATGGCTGCGAGTGCAACAGCTGTATGTCCACCAAAAAAAGTTTCGACGGACCGAAAACGGGAAAATATCAGCTTTTTAGCCAGCTGAAGCTACCCTGCGTGAATATAGCTTGACTAGTTAACAACCCCGTATACATTTGCGCACGATCAAGGCATATGTATAAGTGCATGAGCTTCTAGAAGAATAAAAGTTTCCTTCTAAGAGCACATCCTGTCTCACTCAATATTTTTCTAATCATCAGCCTAAAGGAATGCAAGTTCATATTTGCATTCATGAATATATGGTCGACAATTGATTGAAGTAAATGCGATTTTTCTTTCGAACGGAATATGAAAGTCGTCGTAAGACGAAGGGTCAGTGTAAAACTGCGTCGTTTAACCATCGTTTTTAATGCGTATATTGTTTCTACGGGTATATTGCCGGGACAAAACCGATTTGTCGTAAAACGTAGGTCATCGCAAAACTGGTGGACGTATATTCGAAGTTTCACTTAGTGAAGAAAAACAAAACAAAAAAACATGCATCTTCAAAAAGTGAATGAAGACAAGTGGGTTTTAGGGTCCATAATGTTCATGTTGAAACCACCAACTAATACAAAAGACTGAAACACGCATGGACAGACAGGTGGACGAACGAACAGGTGCATAGACAGATGCACGGATGGTGCAGGTGATCATGTATTATGCTGTCATATACTTCACTGATGCACACATAAACTCAGTTTTTTACACAAGTACTTTTACTTTTCCTTGTGCAAGTGTTCAGTTTTAGTTTCGATTTCGCAGAGCGTGACGGACGCCAACTAGGCTACGGCCTAAGGAGCTTTGGCCCTACCTAATAAGAAGAAAGTTCACTCACTTTTGTGCCGCTTCTTCTTGCTGTTTCGAGGAGGAAGCAGCCAACTTGAAAACAACTGCAAGAGAGATGTTGCTTATAACAGTCATCTTCTTTTAGTTTTATCCAAACACAAACATGCTGCTTCGCATGAAATCTTCCTTCTTCTGACATGGCCAGTTCGGTGTTGCGAAGGCCTCCTTGAAAACATAAAGGGACACTGAAATGACTTAAGATCCTTCGGCAGAAACGTGCTGAGGCAGCAGTGTAAGTTCTTTGGATCATTAACAGGCTACTTTTCATGACATTAACACACCCTCTGTGTTCGCTTTAGAGCCCGAACACAAAAAACAAGCTAAAATCGTTTTTAGAATTCAGGTGTATGTTATGCCTCACTAACTCTTCCGTGCACAGAACTCCATTTTTGGAGGGAAACAGGGTTTATTAAAAAAAAAAAGGAGAAATCCTTTGCAGAAAATTATTTTCTCACCAGAAACAAAAAACTGGCAAATTTAGCTCAAACGATATGAGGTGGCCACCTGAGCTAACAACCATGCTGTAAGGTTCTCCTGGTGACCTTCGGTAAAAGTACAGCTCTTCATTTCTATAGTCCTCAGCACTAGCTACGGATACATGTTCTCCTGTAATATCAACATAATAAGGACAGTACATACTTTTATATCTATAATACAATCTCAGGTCTACTGTCTAGCACGCCTTGAAGACGACGGAAGCCGGAAGAAAGGAAATTTAACGCACCACATTGAAGCCCAAAACGAAGTAGCATCATCTCTGTCAGATTGCGGAAAGCTTTGAAATATGGGTCCTTTAAAATCCGACATGCAGGGCTCACATGTTTCAAGATAAAAAAAAATGAAGAAAACATGGTTACCTGAGGTGACCACTGTGCTGGAAAGAGCTAAAGCTATTCATCTATTACAATGTGCATCATCACATAAAGCGGATATTTGGAAGCACAATCACTACTACCCACTGCCGTTTAAGCCCCTTTTCAGGCAAAGCTGTAAGTTTCGAGCTTTACGACCCAAACTTTTGCCACTGCTACTTGTAGGAGCAATTGCAAGGTTGGTAGGCTTTCAAATGAGTTTCTAATGTGGCACAAGTTGTGAACAAAGACTTTATTGCAGGCATGCTATGCTAGCCTGTGAAAGTAATCTTGACTGATCATCATGTTGCCTACCACACGAAAACATCCTCAGGTGAAGTACGAAGCAAATGTAGCTATAGCGACGGATATCCTAAGTGGTGTGAAGGAATAAAGAAGAGAATGCAGGTCATGCATATATGAATGCACTGTTATCTGTGCATGCACTGTTATTGTGCTGTGCATTTAGTAGAGAAAGCACATCAAGTAATACGTCACAGTCAAGCATCGTTAACATGTACCCAATTAAAATATACTAATGGTCAAAACGTTGTTTCAGCGAATCTTCAATCGAGTTGCATAGAGCCTAATGCACTCGCTGACTGTTTCAGCCGTCGCAATTCACCTTATGCCTAATGGCTAGTGTGCACTCTGCATACAGCAATACCCTTTTGTGCCAGAAAATTTTACTGTGCTGCTAAACTTGCTGATGCCACTTATATGGCGCAGAAAGTACTTCATAATTCCGCCAAGTATGGAGTTCGTTCGATCGATGATTTTGAATTTTTTATTTTGATTTTGAATAACACTAATGACTTTGTGAATATACATCGGGCAAGAATGAAAGTGAGGTGCCAGTCCCTGATGAACTCGCCAGTATGACTTATCGACAGCAGCCTCATCACCATAAATATCTTAGGCTATCTGCTCGAGCACGTATGTGGGGTAGTGCGACTTTAGGCCTACTGCATGCTTTTAACAGGCAACAACCCGCTTCTGTCCAGAATGAAGTGAAGGACACTCCAATGGTAAACGCACATATATGGTGCAGCGAGCAGCCCGGCAATGACGGCATGATCTGAGTAGCTGATGCATTGCACACAACTAGCCAGAAACAATTAGCTCCCCACAGCCACACAATACTGCATTTCATTGAAATTGTGTCAGTTCTCATTCAGCAGCAAATCGCGGTACAGATGCATACACATGTATCACAAAAACCCAAGAGTGTCTATGTCAGTCGTGATATATCCTGGATGCAGTTAATAGCTTTGAAGTGCTCTCTGGTGTCACCAACATGCACTATCAGACAATTGCGCAAAAGTGCGTGAACTTTCTCTGTGCTTTGGCACAAAGGAGGAAATGGCTGTGTGGTGGGTACTTTAGGCAATGTATTTGCAATTTGCACTGCATTTATTTCTATGCTGGCAGCGATGGCGCAAGTCCGGAGATGCAAACTTATATTGGGTAGTTAACGCATCGTACTGTTTAGTGCGTGGTCATACCAAATTCCTGACAGGTAAGTATTAACAAAGTTTCACTGTAATTTAATTAAGGTAAGAAGACTACACCATTGCCAGTACAGCATCTCTCATTGCCTGAGTAACCTAAAGGACATTAAATGCCCTAAACCTACCATTTATACTATTTTTCCATTCTTATTTCAGTTTTGGTTTTCTATTACTTTTTTTAATTATCATTATCTATACAATGAAGTAGTACTTAAATGTTGAGATAATTGCTTCTTTGCTGAACCCCCAGTATGGATAGGACCATGCTATGATCATCATAATCAGTTGTTTCAATGTGGTGTCGCTTCCTTCTTAGCTAGCACAACATAAAGTGTGAATGGTTTCCGATATGTAATATGTCACTGCAACAAATACTAGTACCTGTAACAATATCCCTTCACAATGTGAATACGTGCAAGGACCTTGTGAAAGTTTTTGTTTTAATTTGCTTCAGTTTCTTTCTATGCAGGTTTTTTTTTCTTGTTTAAATTTACAGCCTTCCTCATCTTCTTTGCATTGCTCCTCTTTTGTCACGTGTTTTTTGTCACCAACATATTTTCACGTTTTATCTGTGTTTCACAATAAACACAGATCAATGATAGTGCTCGTCACTGTGTGCCTTTTATCTCTTTCCAAAGTTCGCACTATAGCAGTCATCATGACTTCCCAACAAGCCTATGCCACCACATTTTTAAGCGGCGATACAAAATCATGCTTCTTGTGATGGCGTGCCACCCGAAATGCTTCAGTTAGGACTAGGCTTAACAAGCGCCATTTGCCTCGTCGGTAGTGGTCCCAGGTGAACACCCCCCAAAAGGCTCCACTTATGAAGAGAGGAAATCACATAAACGAGGAAGGGGAGGGCATGGATAACATTAGCGAGGCTCAGAAGTCGTCAAGACATTTCCAACATCAAGCATGCACCTATAAAATCAAGCAAGGAATCATGCAGTGGACGTAATTTCGGCCCTCATTCACACACAGGCTCTGAAAGCCGAATAATTTAAGATTGCTAGAAATTAGTCTGTGATATTCTGCCATCGTTAAAGCATTCTTTATTCTCCTGAGTTTGTCTATCGGCACTGCACGTGCTTAAACACAAAACTTTCAACTTTCGTGAATTCAAACCGATGCGAACACCCCATGCATATGCAAATATATGCCACTGCTTGGTCTACTGTGTCTTGCAAGCAAGCAGGCTTTGAGAAAAATGCTGTTTTGGTTGTGATGCTTCACTGTTTAAAATGCTCCAATTATGGTGGATCCAGATCATGACCCAACCACTCTTTTAGCTCACAACCCCACGATCATGTTATCTTCCACTTCTGGTTGGGGAAGTCTGTAGCTAGGGCCGGGGGTCAGGAGGGCTAACAATGCTAAAGACTTTTGAACGAGCTGCCTGTCCCTATCCTTGGCTGCGAGTTGAGCACTCGGAGCGGGTCGGGTGTCAACAAGACAGATTTTTTTCCCTCTCTTTTTCAACCGCCGAGTACATCGGCGGCTCTTGGAACCTACAATTTCTCTTTGAAGACACCCAAGCAGCATTGTCTGCGGGTGAAACTGGTCTCGACTAGGGCTTCAAACCTCTTATTTTGCAATGCAGCGTGTGTACCGCACAAGCAGCCAGGCCGCTCGTGTTCTTACTGTCACGTGACTTAGGCTGTACTCGGGTCAGTTCCGTCATCTGGATACATCGTCAGTGAACCGAGTGACTTAGGTGACAAGTTGCCTATGCTATGATGTTGAGCCTGTTCCATTAAGCAGTTAGAACCGTACGAAGTGAAAGAGCAGAAGAAAAGTAGTGAAGACCTTTTTCTTCTTCATTTTCTCGTTTCAGTTCCGTGAAGTCTGTAGTGGTTATTGCCTCTTCTCCTTTGCGCTCACGGTCTCGCTCGAATCTGCCGGTCGATGAACTTGGCAAGCCGGTCCTGATCGTCCAGGTCAAGCTTTTCTTTCTTGGCTAATGACTCCTGTCTTCGAATGGTGTCTGGATCTCGGTCAATGTAACTGCACACAGTAGGAGCAATTGGAGTTATGCCAGCGTGCCCAGGGCCAAAGGGAAACAACATAGTCTATAAACAAGCTTTGATAACATGTTTGCCAAAATAAAGGCCAACCCTTCTTGAAATGTCGAAAAACTTGAAAAAAAGTTATGCTCAACCACCATAACTGGATCTACACAAGACATGAGCAGGATGACGTTTGTTCGGCTTGTTTCTGCAGCTATCGCAGCTGTTTCTTGCGTGTGGCGTAGGAAGAGTGATGTGCGTGTATGTGTAAAGTGTTCAAGGCGGCTTATACAGTAGACTCACGATAATTCAAGCTATGATAATTCATACTTTTAGTTCATTCAAACAAAATTCAATTTTTCGGTTGGCCCTCCATACCTGCAAGACTTCCAGATTGGCCGGGAGACTCCCGGATTTTGACCATTTCTCCCGGTTGTACGGTCGTCACGAAAATCTCCCGGAAATTGGAATTCTCGTGCGTGATCTGGCCGCATTGACAAAAAAAAGCAGCTAGATCCACTCCAGGCTTTTAGAAGCTACCCCATTTCATTATAAATGAGTTTAAGAGGCATTCATGTAAACGTACAGTATAATCTCAGTGATGTGAAACCACGGCAGATACGAACTCTTGTAATTCCCCAGCCAAAATTTACTATGTTCATTGGGCCTCAATTCGAATGTTCCGAGCACATTTCCTAATTGCAGCGGGTGATACGAACTTTAGTACGCGAACCGTCGAACGAAGTCCGAGAGCAGCGTACTCGAAGCTTCAGAAGTACGCGTGCGACCGGCGCACGCACTGTCTTCTACAGAGCGTGTGATTGTCGTTCCCACAACCGCTGTGGACGAAACCACGATCGCTCTTGACACGATCATGTATGGCGATGATGTAACTGACAGAACCCGTAAGTGTGAGCTCAACCAGTCAAAGAATGCTACTTTCCACAAACTCTGCGGACAAAACCGCGGCAGATGCTATCGTAGATGGCATAAAACGACTTAGTTTTCAAGGCGCGTGCGCAGCCAAGCGCATGGGAATTGTAAAATGAGCTACCGTTTGCTGTAATTGCCGCGCACAAAACCGTGGTGGCAGCGACGCGATAGTGATCTACGAGCTCCAAGGGCACGCAGCGGTAGGTTAAAGGCAGTAAATACGTAAAAAATAATAAAGTTACAGTTTCGCCGCAAGGGCGAAGCAATAAATGCGACAGTAACAACTTGGAATTTAAGGCTGAGAACGGCAAGCAGATCGAAACATGCAGCGCTCTGCTCACACACAAATGACGCACAAAAACCATACTCGTAGGACGAGAGCGAACTAACAACGTTTACCGCTCGACACGTAACGCGACACGTAACGCAACACGTAACGCTCTGTTATCGCTCGACACGTAACGAATTCATTCTAGGCATTACAATGAGAAGTCCACCTCATTTAGACTGCAGTCTGTGGGCGCGGGTGCTAAGGCACGACATGCAATTATACATGATTTCATCACACAATATGTGCTGGCCACTGTCAAGCCGTGCATTAGATAGGCTTCGAACAGCACCCTGCAAAATGAAAGGAGCCTTGGTAGAACCCTCTTTCACATTGTCAACGGTCTTGAAATGGTGTGCTTTCATGGGAGGGTTGACACTGCGGAAAACCATAACACTTCGAGGGCTGTCTTGTCTTGGAAGTTTCCACTCTGTAAACACCTGAGTTTCAGGCAAAACTTACTGACAGTATTTTCTACTTTGTTCCAACACACGCTGCGTTGTAGCTTTCACAGGAAATTAAAATATGTTTTATAGGAAAACCTGTCCCTTCGCTTCTGCAGCGTCGTAGATGACTGAACAGCCATGTGCACATAAGTTTACTTCCAGCTCTACTGATTCTGACCAGCACTGATGAGGTACGACATACAGCTGCTTCATAATACTAATCGTTCAGCTTACTTTCTGGACAAATTTTGCCTCATAAAATGAGATGTATTCGTGGTTAGCCCTAAGTGTACAACACGAGCATGACCTAAATGCATACCAGACGGTACTGCCCTTTTGGCGCTTCACAATGTGATGCTAAATCTTCCACGCTTTCTAAATCAATGTGCCCATCTTGCACTTACACTGATTCTAATGAAAAACTTGTGTGAAGAAATAAACACTCACGTGATGAACCATCCTTTTTCAGTCTCGTCGACGGTGCAATGGCCTTCACGGCCAAGCCATTTGACAAATGAGGTAAGGGTGAGCCATCGGGTGGCATTCATGTGTAGGTGCTGTTTGTCCGCGATGTACTCCTGGTACACCTGGTTGGCGTGCACTCGCTTAGTGCCTGCATGGCGGTAGCAAAAAAAGTGCCCATTGTCGTTTCTAGAAGAGCCACAAAACGCAAATTCACCAATGAACAAGAATGGCTAGAACCCACGCAGCAGACATTCCCAAATTATGACAAGCAATTTATTAAACCAGCAATTTATTGCTGTTCAGAGAGGATAACCACTCGTTTGTGGAGTAAAGCGACAAGAAAATCAATGCGGACTTTCTCGGAACTTCCTTCGCTTTACCTTTCTAGCACGTTGTGGCATTTCACAGATTCGATGTGCAATAATTTACCACTGTCTATAAAGCAAAAAGTGTATAACCACCGCATTTTGCCGACCATTGCATTTTGCCAGCACAATAGCACACTGACAAGAAACTCGGAGGATAACATAAAAACTCGAGAAGTTGAAGACTGCACAGTGTGCATAGGAAAAGAGGATAATAGGCCAAGACAGCGGGAAAGAGAAGACCATGGCAGAGAATAAACTGGGCTAGCTGTTATCTCAGTAGACATCAAGAGAAAATAAAGGAACTTAGACAAGTCATGTAATCTGTAGCAGAGAAAACTAATGATCACTTAGAGCAACGGAATAAGTACTGTCTGATGAGAGACCTAGCTTTGGTCAGCTGAAGGTAAGGGAAAGGGACGAAATGCAGAAAATTGCAAATCTGAAATGCAATGAGCTGACACAAGGCCAGGTGAATTAAAAATCACTGTGAAAGACCTACGCCCTCCAGTGGACATAAAGAAAGGCTAGTGGTGATGACTTTCATGACACATGTCGGAATATAATTCCACTAGTAGTTAGTGATAATTGGTAACCGCATCTTTTCGTCCAATATATTTCATCCCACTAAGAAGTTATTCTGACTGTACAGCACTTCAACATTAAGACATCGGCTTGGCTGTAACATTTTGCTTCCACAGGCATGCTCGAAGAAGTCTGCGGTTTCAACAGAGCTAATAAAGCAGAATGTTATTACCGTATTTTCCGGTTTATAAGTCGCACCCTTGTATAAGTCGCACTCCCCTCAAAAAAGCAGTTTTTCTGAAAAAAAAAAACGTATATAAGTCGCACCGGTGCATAAGTTGCACCGGTGTAGAAGACGCACTTGCTCATCCGACCACCGACATTTAAGTATCTCGTCGTGACAATGCATTGCAAAAATGCATGCTTGCGACGGCCAACGCTTTTGCACGTTTCTAGCTATCGGCAGTCACGCGTGCGAGCGCTTTTAAACACACATAAAAACAATACTTTCAGAAGTACCTTTATTATTCCGATAGCTTGGTGACGTTTATTCAAAGCCATCGAAGTCATCTTCCTCCGAGTCGCTCACGAACAATGCAGCTACTTCTGGTTGCAGTACTGCTGGCACATCACTGTCGTCCTCCGACTCGCTCGAATTGGACTCTTCAACGTCGCCTCGCCATCGGCCGCGCAGGGGATCAAACCTTCCTTGCGAAAGGCCGCCACAATGGTCTTCGCAGAAATTGACTCCCAAGCGTCACTCACCCATTTCGCCACTTCGCCGAACTCTGCGCGTCTCATGCGCCCCGTTTTTGTGAAGCTCTGTTCTCCCTCCGACATCCACGTTTCCCATGAACGTCGCAGAACTGCCTTGAAGCTCCGGTTGACAGAAATGTCAAGCGGCTGAAGCATCTTCGTCATGCCGCCGGGAATAATCACTGGCATACAGTTCTTTGAACTGATCTTTTTCTTGACAATATCGGTGGTATGTGCCCACATACTGTCCATTACCAGCATTCCTGGCTTCACGTGAAAGAATCTGTCTGGTCGACGGGAAAAACAGCGGTCAAGCCACACACTCATCATTCCCTCGTCCATCGAACCTTTTGTGTTCGCCTGAATCACCACTGTAGGAGGGAAATTATCCTTCGGCAAGGTTTTCCGCTTAAATATTAGCATGGGAGACAGCTTTGTGCCGTCCGCGCAGCAGGCGAGCACAACGGTGAAGTGGGACTTCTCGTGGCCTGTTGTCCTCACAGTGACAGTTTTCTGGCCTTTTTCGGCGATGCTTCTCCCAAGCGGGATGTCGAATGTCAGCGGCACTTCATCCATGTTAACGATGTGGCTCGCACTGACATTCTTCTTCGCAACTTCCTCCCTTACGAATGAGCTGAAGTTGTCCAGTTGCGCCTGAAAGTCGTCGGGCAGCTTCTGGCACACTGTCGTCCGGGCTCTCGTAACCAGCTGATTCCGTCGCATAAAGCGGAAACACAACGACGGACCACCATTGAATCCCGTAACATTGCTCTCCGCTGCCAGAGCCTTCGCCTTCAGGCGCAGCTGCACTGTTGACAGCCCTCTTCCTTCGGCTCGTTGTTGCAGTACCCACGTGCGCAGGCTACGCTCGAGGTCCGGCCAGCGCGCCTTCTTGCCGCGGTTGGCCTTCTTTGTCGACTTCATCGTCCGGAGGACGCTGTGGGCCTTGCGCCAGTCACGGATTATTTTTTCACTGACGTCGAATTGCCTCCCTGCTTCTCTGTTCCCGTGGTTTTTGGCAAATTCAACAGCGCGCAGCTTAAACTTGGCGTCATAGCTTCGCCGACTTTGCTTTCCAAGCGGCGCCATGGTTTGCGAGGTTCTACGGCGCTACCGGCTCTATGCTACGACGCACAACACAACACACGAGACGCGCGCAGCAACAGCGACACAGCGAGTGCAATGAAGACGTTATGGCGGACAGATGTGACGGTAAAAGAAGTGGCTCTGAAATCCAAACTTGCTTTCCATAATTTATAATTTAAAAAATACCTCCACATTTTCACCCCTCTGATTATTTTTTTGTGCAAAACTACATAGCTGCGTTATCTTTAGGGTGTTAACTTACCGTTAATCTTACTTTCTCTTTAAATGTGGTTTCTGTGCATCGCAGAAGGCGGTGAAGCGCCGTAGACGCTATTTTGATGCTTGCTTGACGTAAACAGCGCCACCCAAGCCGTGGCATCCAACTCGATTTTGAATGTATATAAGTTGCATCGTTGTATAAGACGCACCCACGAAAAATTCAGAAAAAAACCACGACTTATAGACCGAAAAATACGGTATACTAAATGACAAAGAGAACATCAATTTCATTTGTTAAAGAAAGATGTGATGTGGTCTCACCAAATCGTCTCTTGAGCAGCTCCAAAAAACTGTCAGCAAATTCTCTGAAAGAAAAAAAAAAACGAAGCACTTTGTGAATTTTAAAGAAGATTGAAGTGCCGCCTTCTAAGCCCTGATCTATAATATTATCTGAAATTTTAAGTTTCAAACCCACGATAGGATTATGAGAGATGCCATAGTGGAGGGCATTGAAAATTTTGACCATCTGGTGATCTTCAATGCGCACTGATGTCACTCAATACATGGGCCATTAGCATTTCGTCCCTGAAAAAATGCGACTGCCGCGGCTGGGACAGAACCCGAAATCTGGAGGTCAGCAACCGAGAACCATAAATGCTGCTTCAATGTGGCAGACACCAGAACTTCATATCTGCACCGCCTTGTCAGCGATTGAAAAGAGCGTGAAGTAGCAGCACGTGGTCGCTTGAGATAGGTATTCCAAGGACATGAGCTGGTTATGCCACTAACGCTGATCCCCTCACTCATCCCAGCATGAATCTGGTGTACAGTTTGCAACTTAGTTTTATAGAACACTCATTTTCAGGTACAGAATATCATTGTTTTCTGTAATAGATCCAAAGTGTGCATGAACAAAGCAACGCCATCAAGACATGTTCATCTGAAGTGTTTGCCGCCTACTTTAATAGCCATTGGGCACTTCAAAAACTGAAGCATGGTACTCCAACTAGTGCTGCCATAGGTCAGGAACAAATTCGGAGCTTACTCAGACTCACTCATGGAATACATTTTACCCTTTGGGCTCACTCAGACCTGTAGCACACCAGTGCGGCCCACAAAAATCCAACCAGAAGACAACGACGACACACCAAGTACGAGATGGCTCCGCCTGTTCTTGTTCGCATCTGTCTAAACTGCTCCAGATTAAATACACAGTGTGAGATGTCACAGCATCGACATCCGTCTGCCTGTTTCCACAACTTGGTGACCTCGAATTCACCTGATCACTCTCGCTTTCCTATTTGCGCTCACCTCAGCCGCTTCGCTTGGGCTAAAGCTGCAGGAACTCGAGAGCCACAGTCTTCAGTCTTTCCCGAAGACAGAACGTCATGACCTCTGATTGATTTGTGGGGTTTAGCGTGCCGAAACCACTATTTAATTATGAGAGACGCCGTAGTGGAGGGCTCCAGAAATTTCGACCACCTGGGGTTTTTTAACGTGCACCCAAATCTGAGCACACGGGCCTACAACATTTCCGCCTCCATCGAAAATGCAGCCGACACAGCCGGGATTTGATCCCGCGACCTGCGGGTCAGCAGCCGAGTACCTTAGCCACTAGACCACCGTGGTGGACAACGTCATGACCGCTTATGAGGTACAATTATCATTGCCCCAACCCCGTAAGCCCAAGGTTTTCGTTCTCAATCTCCCGGAGTTCTCGTCCTCAAACTCGCAGCATCGACATCTATCTGCCCGTTTCTATTTACTCACATAAATTTTCTTCCACTACACTGACTCGAACTCGCACAGGCTAAATTTTTTTTTTTTCAACCGGACTCAAACTAATTAAAGTATTTGTCACTTGGACTCGCTCAAGGTTATACTCATGCCTCAATCCGAGTTCGAGTGAGTTGAGTCGGGTCTGTTAGCATATAATTAGCTGTTTTATCACTGTGTCACTTCCCCTTAATCCCGGCATCTTGCCGAATCGGGGTTTTGCGTTACACAATTCTAGCTTGCAACTTAAGTACGAGATGTTAGTGGTCGCAAACTAGCCGGGAGAAGTTTTACTGAAAGACGCGACACATATGAAATATTATTATCAAAAACTTCCCGTGAAACTTAGAAGGAAGGGGGAGTTAATTGTAGATCTCACTGCAAGCAAACATTTCAAATAGCTGTTAGCCTGGTGTGCATGAAATCTCAGTTAACCTTCTTACAGTAGTGTAATTCAGCAAATTATGCTTAACATTTCAATCTTCTACTTCGACAAACAAGGCAGATGGAGCTGTCAGGTGCTTTGTGATGCATTCCAAAGGCTTCAATTAGTAACTACATACTAGTAAGTTCTGAATGCTTAGAGTCTTCAGGAATGCGGATACAAGCCACAGTACGGAACTGCCGTAAAATCCCGAGCATGTGCACCCTTCGCATATTTGCAAGACTTGAAGTATGCACTAATGGCCGAGCAATCGCTTCTCTCCTGCCTCGTTCCCACCCACCATGTTTTTTTTTCAACCCAATGATTTTTAAGACCCGTGTTTTGAAAGTCTTTAGATATGTGTACAATTTCTCAGTACTTTTACAATTTGGTGCCTTGGGATTGCATTTCAAGTTGTCATAAGTCCTCCGAATATTTGAAAAATGCATTTACCCAGTTCTTGAGACACAATAGATTTCACATGAGGATTCCCTACAGTTCAGTAGCCACAATAAAAATACACATATCAAATAAGGCACCTTTTTAGAAGCTTGATTGACTATTCTTCTTACAGTTTCTTTTGCCATCTTGCATACTGGTCCGAAACTAAGCAAGGGGCCTCCTACTAAATGTTGCCCAGTTACCTTTAACTGTGGGGGAGGGGGTGCACTGGCTGTGAATATCACAGTAATGTTATATTTCAGAAGGGGCAAAGTCGGTCACAGCATGCAAAGTGTTTGTGAAGCACTCACTTTGAGAATGATCCTAGGTATTTTCCCGGACATTCAGCAAACAGGAGGAGCTGCCGCTGGTGCGACTCCGACATCGTGTGGCACTTGAAACCGTTCTGCATAAACGGAAGCCAGCAGATTCGTAATGCAGCTTTGGCTCTCTGATCAATCAAAAGCACCTGTAAGAATACTGTTAGACGCCACGCCGGGGTGATGCAACCGTTTAATGGGCCGAACAGCAGCGAGACAGCAGCCAGCGGTTTCAGCAGCAGCTGCAGCAGCACGAGCCTCTGCCACAACAAACGTCTTCTTCGTCGTCTCTAGCAAGCCCGTATTTTTGTCACTACATTGACTCCCCGGTGCAAAAGGAGCCACTGGCGACCTATGGCACAGACACGTGCCATAGTGGGTCATAGTGAAGTTTTAGACGGTCGACGTGCACAGTTTCACACCCGCGGTGCCGTTGATCTGTAGGTGGCTGAATAGGTTCAACCATGTAGTTGACTGGTGATGTCTGGCGCAAGATCCTGTACGGACCGTCATACCTGGGTGTGAACTTTGAGCAAAGGCCTGGGGCAGACGATGGCACGCGGAGCCACACGATTGTTCCAGGCGCGTATGACGATGGAGAGGAGCGTTTGTCATGGGAGTCCTTCTGGCGAGCCTGATCGTGCGTAGTAAGCGCACGTGCGAGCTGCCGACATTCTTCGGCATATGTGCCGGCTTCGGTCAAAGTCGTCGATTCTGAAGGGTCTGGGCGGTACAGAAGAATAGTGTCCAAAAATTATGAAGGTTTCCGACCATAAAGAAGAAAGAACGGGGAGAATCCAGTTGTAGATTGAATTGCGCTGTTGCAGGGGTACGTAACGAATGGCAGTACGCGGTCCCAGTTCGTATGGTCATTGGAAACATACATGGACAGCATGTCACCCAGTGTGCGATTAAATCGCTCGGTCATCCCGTTGGTTTGGGGGTGATATGGGGTGGTTGTTCGATGCACGATGTTGCATTTGCGTAGGAGGGCTTCTACAGCTTCCGACAAGAAGGAACGCGCACGGTCACTAAGAAGCTCACAGGGCGCACCATGCCGGAGGACGAGGTTGTGCAGAATGAACAAGCCGACTTCACGCGCAGTGGCCTCGGGAAGCGCCGAAGTTTCGAGTTTCGGCGTAACGCGTAAGATGGTCCCCGGCGTGGCGAACAGGAGGTGGGTGGGGACGGACAGGGGGACTTGCAGCGTAGATGGGACGGGGCTGTCTAGCAAGATCCGTGGCGTTTGGTAGCGACGGCGGCGATCGTCTGGCGGCCTCAGCGTGAGAGGGGCGGAGATAGGCGAAGAATGGTATGTAGGAGACAGGGCATGAGAAACTTGCTCCTCGATTGTCTTGCGGAGCGTTGGGGTCAGAATGTGCGCACTGGCCGGAACATGCGGCACAAGAGACAAGTGGCACGCCACTTCTTCTCGGACGAACTGCTGAATTTGCTGCATTAAGGTGCTTTGTTCTGATGAAACAGCGCCAATGGTTAACGCAGATGTAGAGCTCGTGTCGAGGTTTGGACGTCGAGTAGAAATGCGCTCTCTTCGCAGCTCGTCGAAACTCTGAGAGTGTTGAATAAGCTGGGCGATGGTTTGCAGGTTTTTTGCAACGAGCATGTAGAAGGCGTCGTCCTCGATACCTTTCATGATGTGCCGTATTTTGTCAGTGTCTGACATGTGGGAATCGATACGACGGCAGAGGTCCAGAATATCCTCAATATACGAGGTAAAGGTCTCGCCAGAGCGCTGTGCGCGGCCGCGCAAGCGCTGTTCGGCGCGGAGCTTGTGAACAGCGGGTCGGCCAAAGACTTCTGCAAAGCGCGTCTTGAAGGTTGACCAAGAGGGTATTTCTGCTTTGTGGTTGTTAAACCACAGTTCTGCCACACCCGCCAGATAGAAATGAAGGTAAGTGAGCTTGTCGGTGTCATCCCACTTATTGTGGGCGCTTACCGCTTCATACTGGGACAGCCAGTCTTCGGCGTCTTGGTCGTCGGTCGCGTTGAAAATTACTGGATCTCGCTGTCGTGGCATTCCGGAACAGGTGAGGGATGGGATTATGACTGCAGGTGGCTGGGTCATGTCGTCAGGCATTGGCGAAGCGGGGGGTTGAGATAGAGTCCGGGAACGGAGTTCCAGTTTGAGACAACCAGCACTCTCCACCAAATGTAAGAATACTGTTAGACGCCACGCCGGGGTGATGCAACCGTTTAATGGGCGAACAGCAGCGAGACAGCAGCCAGCAGTTTCAGCAGCAGCTGCAGCAGCACGAGCCTCTGCCACAACAAACGTCTTCTTCGTCGTCCCTAGCAAGCCCGTATTTTTGTCACTACACACCGATTAAGTTGCCTGGCTTCACATAATAAAAACAAGTGATGATACTGAACTGCGTTATTGTCGGAAGCTCAAATTAATTTAGACAACCTAGATTTCTTTAATGTGCACAAAAATCTAAGCACACAGATTTTAGTTTTTTTCGCCACTCCATCAAAATGTGGACAAGAAGGCTGTTAATTAAACCCATGCCTTCATACTTAGCTGTGCTACATCTTATCCTGTAGGCAACGATGGTGTGTCACCCTCAGTAATCTATAACTTCTTTCACCGAAAGCAAATTATTACTTTTATAGAGAAATATCACATAAATATAGATTATACAATGTTCCTGCATATTTTGAGCAAACAGAAAAATATCTACAAATTTTTGATCCACTACAACATCAATACACCGACACAGGTGTCTTTGGGTGCATAAACGCGACACATAAAAAGCTTCTGACACAGTGGTATCAATACACTTCTGTTCTCAAAAGAAAAAAAATACTTTAAACGTGTGTACTCCAACACTGTCTGTTTGGGGATAGTCCTGTTGCCCAGCAGTACACCTCTGCCTGCGTTCACACCTTGAGAAAACATCGTTGGAATTTATTAGTGACAATTGTTGAATAATTTCTGTGCTTCAGGCCTCATGCGAACAATTTTGTCACAACGGCGACCATTGACTAGTGTGAGAAGGAGGAATGGACACCTGCAAAGTCTTTCTGCGCTTCCAAGGATAATAGTAAATATACCACATTATGCGGTTTTACGTGAAAAAACATTGATACCATTCAGAGGCCCACCGTAGTAGAAGGCTCCGGTAATTTGGACCACGTGATGTTGCTAAAAGTGAAATTAAAGCTAGGTACATGGGGCTCAATTGAAATGCAACTACAGCGGCCGGGATCAAACCCATGACTTTCCGGTCAGCAACGCAGATTCGTAACAGCAGTACGACACCGAAGGAGGAATTTACTGCAGGAATGGGAAACGCCTGCCGGGCGAAACTCTTTCAAAAGCTATCTCTGCTTTCAGCATGAATATGCCGCGCTCGCTTAACTAAGCATCGTGCGAAATTCGGCCGAAATTCGCACACAGCTTGAGAGCCAGCCATAAACGAAATTGGCTCGACTCCGAAATAGTGCTTCCAAACGCACCACGATCTACGGAGAAATACACTCGGAAAAATACGCACCTCGTCCCGACATTGTTTCTGGCACATCTGGCAGTACCATCGCAGTTTCTGAAGACCCTTGGACTTGATTCTGTTCGCGATGCCCTTAGGGCTGAACGGGTCGTGTTTCGGCATTTTCTAGCTGAAACCAACACACAAGTTTGAATGAATGACAAGCACCGTGCATCACTGAATCGGGAAGCGAAAGGAACGAAGCCCGCGAAAGTGCGCCAGTAGAAAGTGGATCATGCTTACGTTATAGAGGTGAGAATGCAAACAAGCTTAATGAGTGACAAGCGTAAGTGAAAGCAGATTAAATAAAGACATCAACAAAGCTTATGCAGGACCACGACACCACGAAACACGCCGTAAACGCGGTACCGAGCGAGCATACTACAAAACTGGAGTGCACTATACAAAACGTACGGCTTCTAACTAGATTGGATTGGCTTCGATTGACAGTTGGTTCTTAAAACAATCCTTTGCATGTCGTTACTGCTAGGTGCCTTAAATTAGCAATACTTGATCACATTTAATGAATGCTAGTAATTTGTGAGCTAATAACTTACAAGTATTGAACTAATGAAAGCCCAAATGTAACTTTAGCTTGATGCTCTATGACGTCTGAACAAAGCATAGCCTCCAAGACCTGAACAACGCTACATCCATGACATGAAAATTTGATACCACTTTCAAGCTGATTCATTTTATGGTAAGGCTCATTCCAGCAATATATTCTATACGTACAGCGCATTCAACCAGTATTTCGATATTAGAGCATAAAAGAGGAAGAAGAAGAACTTTATTTATGAAGTCCAGGGAAGTTGATTTGGCGTGAGCCTCAGCCCGAGCCTAGGCATCGGCCACGAGCTTTCGGGCACAATTTTTTTTACACTGTGATGCACTTGCATATATGTTTTACACTGTAAAACATATGGCATATGCTTCAAACATTTCGAGAAGTTTCTCTCAAGTGGGGACATCCACACTCTAAAAAAAAAAAAAAAGAGCGAGTAAAAAGGGTCTTTTTGTCCCACAACAATAATCGTCATCTATATTGCGTTCCATCCTTGCGCTATCGCACCGCGCCCGGCACATTCCGGTCACGATCGACATGCCCATTATCAGGGTTGCATTGCATTCTCGATAGGAAAGTGGCCAGCGCCGAGTTTTCAAGAAAGGAAGCGCACGCAAGCCTGATGACGATTATTGTTGTGGGACAAAAAGACACCCTGTTTACTCGATTTTTTTTTTTTTTGAGTGCAGCATGCATTTGAGAGAGCGAACAGTGTAGTCGGGAGAGAGCAGTGTAAATTAAGAGAACCATCACGTGCGTTCGGTGCGATATGAGATTCCATCGTCGTCGCTTCCATCAGCCCATAGATATAGTATGTGGTTGTCGATCGGTTCCGCTTCATTGATTCTCGGCTCCCTTGTTTACGTAATGACTACTGTGTAACGGAAAAAGCAACCGTCGATAATAAAGACAGTTGAATGCGGGAGAATAGTTTATAGGGGGCGGCACCATCACCGTACTAGTGTGGATAGGCGGCCGGCAGCGCGCATGCCAATGCACGAAATGGCGCGTTTTCTGAGCGCTGTGAGCTGATTGTCGGCGAAAAAAATGCGTTGATTGCTGCCCAGTCGTAATAAATATGCCGTTCATTGCTTAACGGATGTACGAAGCTCACTGAACGTTACTTTTACGTGTGACAGAAATGCAGTCTTGTTCGCGCTTGGTGACTGTCTGCACTTTCGCACTGTCACATTTCTTGTATTTTTTTGTTTAGGTGTTGAGCTTGTGTCCCGTCTACTATGCACTGCTGAGCATGACTGAATTCCTTCTTCATGCACGCTGGTCATGAATACCAAACCCCTCACTCCCCCCCCCCCCCCCCCCCTCAGAAAAAAAGGAAGAATTTCGATATTTTTGGGCGATTAACCTAAAAATACAGCGATTACTCATTCCGCCTTTTCGTCTTAATCATTTCTTTAAGGAATAAACCTAGGACAGTCGATAAGTTAATTCAGGAAAGCTACGTGAGTTACAGCGCTCCAGCGCGCTGTAATGGTATAAAAAGGTAATAGTTCAGCCCGCAGCTTTTTTATATTGATTATCTGCATCAAAGTGATGGAAAGGTTTCATGATTGATGGAACGAAGTTTTTTTTTGTGTGTGTGAATATGTGTTCACTTCTTCCATCTGCCTACGCAACGTCACAAAAGCGCTCAAGGTAATATGAAAAAAAAAAAAAAAGTTGCGTTCTCCTTGAAATCATACGACATATGTGAAGCACGCCGTTTGGATTAATTTTGACAATCTGGCCTCATTTAAGCGAGCTCAAATATAAAAACATGGGTGAGGCAATTAGGAAACTCCAACCAAAATTTGTATTACAGCGCTTGAGTCACAATTTTTTGTTAGAGTTTTCTGATTGCCTCATTTGTATTCCAACCTGGCAGACTTCTGCCAAGAATTCACCTTTGATAAGAACACGGGTCTGTCTGTATAAATATATCGCCCACTCCTAAAATTGCGCATGGCAACTCGAGTTTAATCAGCTCCGTATCATTCAATTGAAGTGCCGAATTGTCAGGATTTACTATACAGCAGTGTCATATGGGACTAGGACTGTACAATACAAGGTAATCTCAAGCACAATTAAGGCTCGTTACATAATCAATAAGCAAGAACTCCACATTTTTTTTAAAATAGGCACCTAGCAACAATGCAAAACTTTAGTTTATCCCTGAGTCACTAAAATGCTGCATTCACGCAATATTTATTATTCCTCATGTTTGGGGCGACGCCATTGCAAGTGCACTTTACGATGGCCTTCAGCTAAAAAGCGGCACCTACACCGAAATGATCCTGTCGAATAGCGGCTACAACGACGATACACGCACATCACTCTCGCCAAGTGCTCGACTGCATCTTATTGCGGTACATATACAGGCGAGTAAGGCCAAATGCTTCTGTAGACCGTGCTAGGCAAACGTACAAGCAGTTACTCTTGCGCTAACAGAGTGGGACAAACCTCCCTTTGAGCACGAGCATGACGTACACGCACGTGCTAGCCTATGTGGATAGTAGACGACGCCGGGAGCAATCCACACTAGGTGCGCTTCAGCCAGTGGCCACCAGGCGACGACTCCACTCGATCTCGGGGCGAATGCCTGTACTATGGTGGCTAGAATTGGAAGGTGACGCCAACGGGAGCTCGGAGCCGCTTCTTCGTTTCGAGCAGCGCGGCAGTGGCGCTGTCGGCGGAATGGTGATGCTAGTTACGCGCGCGCGCCTTGAGCGCGCGGACCTTTCAAAGATGCTGTTGCTGAAGCATGATTCAGATAAATTGGCGATTCAGATAACTCACTGTGACGATGGCTGATAGAACGCCATTTCAAGCATTAAAAGAAATTGGCTGCCGCTGCAAGACTTCTGTGACGTTGAATCTGCGCAAATTAAAGCTTTCGTTCGCATATCCCTGCAGTGTTTTGGAGTGCAAGGCGACGGCGTTTTTTTTTAAAAAAAATATTACCAAAGTTCTGGGCGAGGAAAATAAAACAAATATTTATTGCACATCATATTATTAGGAAGATCTATTGCACATCATGGAATACAGGGTAAAATAAAATAAAATGAAAAAATACGCACATTTACACACGCTCGGGAGTAGTTAAAAACATTGAAACATTGCACACAGACAGCGCATCGCTTGGCACTAAGTAATAAGAGGCATACAATCACTTTCCACTCGGCAAAAAAAAAAAATCAATAGAGCTTAAAGTTACAATATCAAACTCAGAGCACGCGTCTAAGCTTCAGCAATTTCATTCTTTCCTGCTTAGCGTTTCGTTTGCTGTTCTGGGCTTTCACATGAAAGTGGAGCCTAGTAAGAACATAAAACTTGATAATTTTGTTTGTGAGGGACATACTGTGGTCAGGGCAGCCAACAAGTGTAAGCTTTCTTAACTGCAAGAAGGAAACCAAGTCCATGATGCTGTCAGGTTTGACTTCTGTAACACTGAAGCAGTGGGTAAAAGTGTTCTCGAGAGTGGTCACGAGTTCATTGAGCTTGACTGATGGGTACAGCAGGCCTCCTCGGTCAACAGCAGCCGTGAGGGATGCTGCAGCTGGAGATGGATCGTTCTCGCCTTGTAGGAGCTGCTGGCTGCACTCTGCACATTTGGTGCTTGCAACGCTTTTTCTTGCCACATATCCAGCCATGTAGAATATGAGTCTGGCATCGCTGCTTTGCACGACCATGTCTGCATGCTCGGTGCCGTGGCCGTATTCATTGAGCACTTCATGTGCTTCGGCAAGGTTTCCTACGTCAAGAAGCTCGTCTAATTTCCTCCGAGGAGTGAGTCCTTTCCGTTGTCAGCTCCCAGCAGACTTCTCAGCAGTCCTGAGGACACATTGCTTCCTTTCGGTGGTTTTGCCAAATTCTGGAAGCTCAAAGTGTTGACCGAGATTAGGAACTGGGAGGCAGTCGGATGATCATTGCATCCAGACATTTGTCGGACGATTCCAAACAGCCTCTCCAGGGGGTCCTGACTCAAGCGGCATGTCATCATATAGCTGAAGTTCAACTTCATCGTCAGGTAGCGGAGAAGGTGTAGCGTGCTTGATAAGGTAACACGAAGCCCCTCGGCTGTACTGCGGCTTAGGAAACCTCCGGAGCCAGCAGCTGTTTCCTAATCGTCCAGGTAAGTCAAGAAGTTTTGAATGCACTTCTCGTGCATCCCTCCAGGCTTAAGTGCACCCGAACTGCACCTTGAAGTCATGGCCTCAATGAGCCTTCTCATTCTTTCCACAAAGCTGACTGTCGCCGCTGTGCTCCCATGCTTTTCTTCGATGGTTGCATTGTACAAGAAAAGGCCTCTGAGGACTTCATCACTGTAAAGCCGCACTGCATAATTTACCCTCATTTTCTCAAAGCCATTGGGATGCACAACCGATTTGCTAATATGAGGCATGGCTTTGAGAGTCGTGTCATGCTGTTCATCAAGCTTCCGGGCACAGTCAATAGGGTCAACACTGGCATGGCCTTCTGGCAGTTTCACGCCCGTTCGAACAAAGGTGTTCCTCACACATTTAAGAAGGTGTGGGAAGTCCGAGATGAAGTGCAGAAAACGTTCTGGGTCTGTAGGGTGCTGCCTTCTACATACTGTGTTTTCTTTCCTGCCGTGTATGCCGAATGAGTGCCACATGCTTCTGTTCCACGCAGCTCCATCAGTGGTGATAAAGTCTACGTGCAGACCGGCGTTTTCGCTCATGACTACTGCTTCGAGGATTATTTTGCCTAACGTCTCGGACTTCACATTGCTGCGTGACGCGAACACACCAATAATCTGGTGCCACGTGCCTGTAAAAGGCACGAACAATACTACAAGGCCATGGTCACATGCTACGGA